TTCTTATGATGCCCGGGCTGCTTGCAGTGATAACACTTGCCCTTAGCCTTTTTCACACCAGCAATCGCGCCACCAACAGAGGGTTTTTGAGCCTTTTTCATTTTCTGCCCGCCTCTCGGCTTAGAAGAAGAACCTGCCTCAAAATTCAATGCCACGGGAGGAGCTTGGGACTTGATAATAGTCTCTGCCAACTGCAGCTCATTCAACAATTTCGCAAGGGACAAATCCATTTTGTTCATGTTATAATTCAGGCGAAATTGCTGAAAACTGTCAGGCAAAGTCTGCAGGATCATTTCAACCTGCGTGTCCTTATCAATGTTAGCTCCAAGGACCTCCAGTTCATTCAGAAGACTCATCATCTTCATAACATGGTCCCTGACCGATGAACCTTCAGCCATTTTGGTATTCAGAAGAACTTTCATGGCAGTCTGCTTAGCCGCACGATTCTGATCTCCGAACATTTCTTTGAGATTTTTCAGAATGTCATAAGCAGACTCCATCGACTGATGCTGATGTTGCAGAACATTCGACATGGATGCCAAAATGTAACACCGCGCCATCTCATCAGCCTTAATCCATTTCTGGTAAGCCTTCTGTTCATCATCTGTGGCATCATCTCCAGGTTTTTCTGGACACACCTCATCGAGCACAAATTTGTACTCTTCAGCAATTAGAACAATATCCAAATTTCGTTTCCAATCAACATAATTTGGACCCTCAAGTTTGTTTTGGGTAAGAATGGCAGTAAGGGGATTAAAAGCAGTCATTGTTAATCTGGGAGACATTAAATATTTAAATAGATCAAATCAGTTTGTATTATGAACATTAAAATTCAAAACACATTATATATATACAATCTATGCACCTTGAACAACAAATTTCGATGGGAAAGAAGCTATTCTTGCAATATACATATATAATGACAGATTTTCACTCCATAAACTTAAACATGTCATACTCAGATGGAGAGTAAACTGTTAATTTAAGCCAAGTGAATATCAACATTCAACATATATTAGTCCCATTGAACCAACATGCATACTCAGATGGAGAGTAAATACAAATAATCAATGACTAGTATAACATAGTGATTATTCATAATATTTTTATCCGATATGGAAGAAGACCTACGTCAACGTGTAAAAACATTATATCACTGATTTTTTAAGCCCGGGGACCAAGGGAATTGATCCCCACAATTTCTGGAATTAAAAACAACTAAAAAAAATTTCAGAATTTTAGAAAAACAGCAAAAACACCATCTAAACGACCCCGAACGCCCCAAAAACGACTTCAGTCATGGATGAAATCTATGAGTATTGCTCACTGGGCCGTTTCGCATGGACCTGCCAAGTTTCAGGTCAATCGGAGTCCGTCAACTTTTTGACCTCCGATTTTCTGCCCTAATTCAGCAAAACGTGTTTTTCCGTTTTACATGATAAAATTCAATTTTCAGATTATTCTAACTCAACATCACCAATATTAAAAGGATACATCAAGTTTTCAGAATAATCAACACAACCCATAACAGATAATCACACCAAAAAAAACAGTGCAGGTTTTCAGAAAAACAAACTTTGCATGTAATTCAAAACTTGCATATAGAACATGATATTAATCCTTATGGTTTATCCTAATTATTTAATTAGACGTGAGTAAGCTCTGATACCAATTGATGGAATATATACCACAGCGGAAGCAATAACAGAATCTTATTCACATGTAATCTAAACAACTAGCACGTATGGAGATTTTAGGATTACCTCTTGAAGCGTAAACACAACAAATCTAGGTCGTTCTCCAGTTCCTCAGTTGAAAACACACTAGCAGATTTCCACAGTCTTCTACTGTGTTACCCAAACAATAACCAAAAAAAGAGAATTTTGGGTGGGCAAAATTCTAGTAGAAACCGCAGTCAGAATCATGTAAAAAACGTCCAGCCCTTATATCCATATATATAGCTGCGTTTTTTAGGTCAAAACCGTTTTCAAAACCTGTTAGGTTTCCTTCTCCCACTAAGGGACGGTTTCCACGTTTTCTTTCCCACTAAGTAACAGTTTCCACTATTTTCTATTATTTAGGCACAGTAGGGACCACAGAATTTAATTAACAAGGCTTCCTATTATGATATTAATTTCGAAATTCTGAAACTAATTTCCATCATAATAAATTACGAATTATTCCACTAAAAATTCGTAATTGCACTCCTTAGTTCAATTTCGAAATTCTTCCATAAAACCTTATTTAACTCCCCATGTTAAGATTCAGATACTAATCAATCAAATTAAATTACTGACTATTTAATTTATTGATTACTTCCTTTAGACTTACACTTAACTTATTTCATGTGTCGGATACAAAATCCACCGGCCGGGTTTACACATGAAAACTTATAAGCTTTCATAAAGGAGTATCATCAATCTCAAAATCGAGACATGGATTCCATCAACTAATTATTACTTCGCCAATGTATATCATTGTTATCCAATTTACCAGGCTTATTGACTCGCGAAAGAATCTCGCCTTTTAATAAATCAAAACAACAAGTGACATACACAGCTAATAATAATTATATCAGGATTAAGAGTATAAGTACATTAAATGGACTAGAGAAATTATTTTATAAAGTCAGTATAAAATACTCATCTCTACTTGATCCGTTCAATACATACAAAATGTACTAGCACAAGAAGTTGGAATTAAACCATTCCCATAATCAAGATAAATTATATTTAATCTTGTGCTACAATCATTCCGATGATTTGTCCAATTCCATCATTAGATTGTGAACATTAACTTTTATGTCTTACAAGAACCGATGATTTAATCTTCCGTGTATAAGCTAAACTCTATACACTAAATCATCTACTATGTAAGCAATGGACGCACAAACCAACACATGATCTATTTAAAATAAAACTTTATTGAATTTAAACAAGTAAATAAATAATTGTTCATAAAGAATACTATAACAATACGCATGGCTTATAGTATATTCTAACACAATTAACATTGCTAACTCTCAAGAGGTATTAAATAAGTGAAATATTTGACGATAATTTAATATGAAGTTGTGTAATTTTCTTACCTCACAATTAATCAAGTGCCGCAATATCTCATCAACTGATCTAAATCCTGCTGTGCCACAATAAGTGCATTGCAGGTTCTCCATAGTTTTCTGCAATAAAATAGCATTATATTAAATTCCCTAGTAAAATCCAATCTGGAAAGATTTGAAAGAGGTACTATATGATACTCAGGTGTAACTTATATGATACTCAGGTGTAACTTATGTAAAGATACGCATTCCAATTAACCTCTGGATTTTTTTCATTTTGTATTTTAGTAAAAGGCATTTTTGATTCCCATACTTTTAGAAGATACCCTCTTGATTTTCCTATTGTTAGTAGTGAATGTAGCCGCGCAAAGCGCCGTTAAAAGCGAGGTAAATAGTATATCTACAAAATGATCAATAATCCATTAATGAATATAGATCTACGCTATCCCTATTTTCGGTGACAAAAGAACGAACTCTTATGAGAAATGTCTATTATAAGTTAATTCATGCACTAATTCTTATGTCAGTATCTTCAGTAAAGCTTGTTTTAGTTAGTTATGTATCTTCAATAAAGCTTGTTTAAGTAGTACCTAATTTAGAATGATTCGACAAGTATTAAAAAGATAATACTCCCAAATTATGTGATATTATAGTTTGACTAGGCACAGAAAGGGACTTTCGGAGCTTGTAATCTAAGGTAAGTTATAGATATTTGTGTGGTTGTTAATTATTTCATTAAGGATAAAAGGTGAAGTTTCATGTTAAATTTTATTTAAATATAAAAATGCATTATTCTTTTTTAGACATACTAAAAAGAAAATTTTATCACATAACTTAGGGACATAGAGAGTAATGTTTATTAAATATTATGATCCATAAATTTTATCTTATAACAACTACTACTAACTAATTAACAAACAAGCAAAAAGATTTCCTTACGTTTAAAAAATGAACAAAGAAAAATCAAAGTTAGAATTTGTTTTGCTAGCTGTTCTGATGGAAGGTAACATTTTAAACCAGAGCAATTTATGTAAAATATCCATTAAGCTTAAAATAGTCATTTTCTATCCATTTGAAAACTAGTTACAATTTATACAAATTCGATATAATTAATACTAATACCCCTAAATACCCACCCATCCCAACCTTCTTTTACTCACATGGCTTAGTTTAGCTTAGCCTGATTTGGCTTTGGCTTGGCCTGGCTTCATTTGGTTTGGCTTGATTTGACTTGACTTGGTTTATTAGTAGATTAATTTGACTGAATATTAAAAAAATGGATAGGAAAAAAAGCAATGGGTAGGGGCGGGTAAATATTTTCCGCCCCATGGGTTTTGCTAAACATCCTCGTCACATTTCTCTTTCACAAATACAAATACTAATGCGCACTGGATGAGCTTTCAAAATTTTGGGATATTACTATTCCATTCGTCTCATATTATCAGTCGTGGTTATTAAAAATAAATGTCTCAAATTATTTGTCATTTTACAAGTTCAAGATAAAATTGTTATTATTTTTCCCCTTTTTACCCATAGTAATAATGGTTCTTGAAGATGAAGATAACATATAAATAAAATAAATATTCAACGAAGAGAGATTATATTTTAAAACATAAATAAGGGTAGAATAGTTCAATCCCTTTCCTAATTAATATTTCTTAAGGAGCGTGTAAAAAAGAAACACGTAATATGAGACAGAGGGAGTGCTTATTAAGGTTCCGTTTGAAAAGCGACCCATGTAATTGGAATTAAGCGTAATTGGGTGTTATAAAATTTGGCGTGTTTGGAAAGCGGCCCATGTAATTGAAATCGAGTGCAATTGAGTGTTATACATTTTAGCTTGTTTGTTAGGCCAATTACATGGTCTCTGAGTGTAATTGGGAGGGAATAATTACATTCTCCAATTCTTGGGGAGGGGAGAGGGGGTTGAGAATGGGGTGTAATTATACTTTGTAATTACATTGTTACTTTTTATTTTATTTTTTAATTTTAATTTCTTTTCTTTTTATTTTTTTTCCTATTATTTTAATTTTTTATATATATTTTAAAATTTTTGTTTATATTATTTATCTTTCATTTTCTTTCTTCTCATTTCCCAACCTTTAGTTATTGTAATTCCATGTAATTGCTCGTATTTTAAAATTTATTTTCCTTATTTTTTCAGTAAGCATAACTACGTCGTTATTCTAGTTGCTGAAACTAGACTTCGTAATATTAAAAAGAACGAGTCTTTAACAAACTTAACATATTACGAATGATGTTATTAAAGTAGAATTTGTTGATTGATGTTATAGACTTATACATGTTTTTATTTTCTTTTGAATTATTTTTACTTAAGTTTTTTTGGAACTTATTTTATGGCATGTTTTGACATAAAAGTCCCATGAACTTTTTCTTTTTGGATTTTGAATTTAGGTTATATTTTCAATTTCAATTTATTTGTTTTAGTACAATTCACTAGTTGTTTTATATTGCATATTATTAATTTCAATTAATAGATTTTTTTTGTCAAACATATGAATAATGTTATGACATTATATATAAATATTAATTATTTTGTCGCCCATGATGGTCTTACAAAATATATTCTTTAATTTTCACACTTGATTAAATTAAAACATTACTAATTTGAAAAATATTACAATTATTTTTTCAATATTATTTATAAATACGTGGTTATTAATTAATATATTTTCAAGAAATAATATGCATTTTAAATACCTAATTAATATATTTCAAGAAATTATAGCATCTTAAATATCTAAATTTAATATATTATTCATAAAAGAACAAATTTGTCAAGTATTAATTTCATTTTCAAATTAATCTAGCTATGTAATTACATATGCACAACAAATAATTGTATTTACACTATAATTATATTATTATAAACAAACATGTCGTCGTAATTACTATATGTAATTACTGAGCTGTGTGAGTAATTACAATAATTTTAATTACCAGGTGACTTTCCAACCGACCCTAAAAGTAGAGGTTAAGTAAATGAAGAGGCGTGAATATTAACTTAAAGACACAAGCAAACAACAATATTAACTCAAAAGATACTACAGTAAGCAATAATATTTAGAATTTGTGGTCATAAACAAGTGAAAAAGAGGCTCAGAGTATTTGTATAGTTATAATATATTTTCATCAAGGGTAGTGTTGAAAGTTTAAGCTAAATTGTTTCCAAATTTAGAAATGAGTCATT